TGGGGGCCTTTTGGGGGCCTCTTGGGGCCTTTTGGGGGCCTCCTGGGCGCCTTCTGGGGCGGAGGGCTCGATTTTTCAGTTCTCGGTTCCCCTCTTGAGCCCCTCTTGGGCCCTTCTGACGCACGCGTCAGAATTGCATGGTATTATTTGATAGGGGTTATTACAACGCGCGTTTGTTAAATCAACGCGTGTGCACCGCATTGCATGATTTGACAGGATTGATAGGGGTGGGTGGGGTCAATACGAGTTGGACAGGGGTGTTGATAGATTTTGATACCTCGCATGCACATTCGTGTTGAATAATTGTGAAAAGCCTAGCTGCGGGGCATATGCGTGAAGTCGGCTTTGGCAGGGGATTTGAGTCGAATATTTTTTAGAAGAAGGCTTACATGTTGTGGAAAGCCTGGGCTGCGATCGATGTGGCGGGCAATCCAGTGGCCCTCGGCCTATCCCGCCACCACGCCTCGGCCACGGTCCTCTTGGATGCTTCTTGGGGTCTCTTGGGATGCCTCTCGGGAGCCTGACTCTTGGGGGCATTAATGGGCATTTTGGTGCCTCTTGGGGACATATCGGGCGTTTCTTGGGCGTCTCTTGGGCACCTTTTAGGGGGCTCTTGGATGGGGCCGCTGGTTCGCCTCTGGGCGCATGGGCGACTCAAAAAACGGGGTCGTCTTCGCCGACATTGGCTCGTAAGCTGCCCGCGTAAGGTCGCGCCTGCGCGCCCTCGTTTCCAAAGCAGCGGGCCGCGTTGGCGGCCCGCGTAAGCCATCGCGTAATGTCGCTGTGCCATCTCGCGTAAGGCCTGTTTTGATCGACGCTCGCATCTCGGCGCCTCTGCGCGATCTCGGGGGCCACCCTAGCACTAGAGAGCTCCGGGGACCAGCCCGTGTTTCCCATCTGGGGCCGAACATATAGAAAGACAAAATGTGTCCTTCCTCCAAAGAACTCGCGCGGAGATCCCCGGAAACGCCCAAGAACGCCCTGAATTCTGGGCTTTGGATGGGCCTTTTGAGGAGCATTTGCAATTTTCAGTGTTGAGGAATCCAAGGGTGCACGGCATGGTGTCGGATACTCCACATATTTCAATAAGCACCCCCGCCCGTGCCAACTTGTCCGACGCCCATTGCCCGCCCCCCCACGCGCCCCAAACCCACCCCCTCTCGCTCCCCAACCTCCCCACGCCCCCCGAAGGACAGCGGTTTCCCCCCCCCCCCCCCCACGCGATCCCCCCCCCCGCTTATTGAGAGACCTGGAGTATGTGTGGTGCGTTCTTTGTGGTGGCGCCCGCGAGGCGGCCAGATGCGGGCACCGGACGAAAGTCCAGAGCCGCCAGCTTACGCACGAGGCGGCCACGAGGCGGCCACGAGGCGGCCGCGGGCGGGCACCAGGCGGAAGCTGTGAGCAGCCAGCCAGCGCACGAGGCAGCCACGGGTTGGCACCAGGCGAACGTTTGGAATCGTCAGCCAACACATAGGGGAACAAAAAGAGACATCAACATAAAAACTCAGAGGTCCGCGCGGATTTCTCGGATCGGCGCTGGGGCCCCCCGGCGGCGCCTCCAGCGCCGCCCCTGGCGCGCTCCGCGCGCCAGGGAGGGGGGTCCAGCGCCGATCCGAGAAATCCGCGCGGACCTCCGAGTTTTTATGTTTATGCAATTTTTTCCCCTAAGATAGGAGGCGGCCATGGGCGGGCACCAGGCCAAAAACTCGGAGCCGCAGGCCAACTATACTGCCAGAGTAGATAGCACCCCTCAGTGTAAGTCCTGTTCGCGGAATTGCACGAAACATGGTGCACATGGCAGTTTCACTGTTCTGCGGCTTTGGCCTATCATCGATGCCACGAGGTCGGCGCCAGCTCTACGCCACCTGGCACCCTGGCACTAGTTTTTTGTGTCTGACGCCGCATTGACATCCATTCCAATCAAGAATGCGTTGAATAATTCGATGTCAAATTCAGAAACCATGGTTCAACGTGGATTCGACGTTGAGCGCGGTTGACTGCACAGACACGAGTCGCGCGTGCAGCAAGGTAAGCCGCTATTGTTCAGGCATTGTTCGCTCGGGTCTGCGTTTCTGTCCTCCCTCCTGCCTCTTGCCCCTCCTGCTGCTCTACCTCCCTTCTGTGTATCCTTGAGCCTTCACCTCCTCACCTCCTCCCCCCCCCTCCCTCCCCCCCTCCCCCTGCATGGATTGCTCCTCGTCCTCGGCATCCTCCGCCCTCCCCCCCATTCTTCCCTTTCCAATCCCCCTCGTCATGCATGAAGTGCTCCGCGCCCTCCTCCGCCCTTCCTCCCCCCCTCGCTTTCTCCTCCCCCCATTGGTCTTACTCACCCACGCGTCCTGCTCCTCCGTCCTCGTGCTGGCCCTTCTGCCTGCCGCCGGGCCTCCTGCTTCCCCCTCCTCCCCGTCCTCCTGCGCGTCCTCCTCCTCCCGTTCCTCCGCCTTCTCCTTCTCCTTCTTCTTCTTCTCCTCCTCCTCCTCCTCCTCCTCCTCCTCCTCCTCCTCCTCCTCCCCACCCCCCACTCCTCCTCCTCCTCCTTCTCCTCCTCCTCCTCCTCCTCCTCCTCCTCCTCCTCCTCCTCCATTCCGTTTCCTTATAAATAACTCCTTTTCGCACCCCAGGCCGGTCGAAAGGGCGGGCCGGGCGTTTCGCCTGAGATTTCCTCACCATTTTTGGCCCTGAAGTTCAGAAGTTGACAACGGTTTCACAGGTGGAGGGCGGGCAGTCTTCAAAATGTGGCTCTCGCCTAAGCGCCGCGCACATTCGTCTTAACAGTTTGCAAGAGTTTCTCGTCACGGATTGAGAGCGGGTCGTTTTCAAAATGTGGCTCTCGCCTCAGCGTCGCTTTCAAGCGTGGGTCGCTTCCAAAATGTGGCTCTCGCAGAAGCGTCGCGCACATGCGTTTCAAAACATGGCAAGATTTTCACGGATTCCCACGTAACATCTCAGAAATTGTCTTCTGGAGCCAGTCACGATTGTCAGGGCGCGACAGTTACGTTAATTCGCTGTGTCGAAGTCCCAGGAATGGTGTTCTGGCAGGGTTCTGGATCGTCAAGATGCAACAGTCAGATTCATTAGCGGCGTTGTACTTCCGAGAATGGTGCTGTGGCACGCGTCAGCATTTTCATTCATTTGTCTCCCAGCGGGGCATTTCCCTCAGTGGAAGTGACTCCTTGTAGAGGCCTAAGACAAGGGAGCTTGGGAGGAGGGTTTATTCCATCATCCTTGTTAAGTCTTGGGTTTGCACTGGCCCTCCTCTTCCTCCCCACTCCCCGCTCGCTCTTCCCACTCCCCACTCCTCCTTCCCACTCCCCACTCCTCACCCCCCACTCCTCCCCACTCCTCCTCCCCACTCCTCCCCACTCCTCCTCCCCACTCCTCCCCACTCCCCACTCCTCCTCCCCACTCCTTCCCACTCCCCACTCCTCTCCACTCCCCACTCCTCCCCACTCCTCCTCCTCCTCCTCCTCCTCCTCCTCCTCCTCCTCCTCCTCCTCCTCGAGGCCCCCGGCCCGCCGCCTCCTGCAAGCCCGGACGCCCGAGGTGAAGATGCAGGGCTGCTCGCAGCTCCTCGCCGCGCCGGAGGGCACCACGGGGACGTCCTGCGCGGCGCCGCGCAGGAGATCCCCCCTCGCGATACTCGAAGAGACAAAACAAAATATAAACATAGAATTTAAGAGCTCCGCGCGGATTCTTGGATCGGCGCTGGGCCCCCCTGGCGGCGCCTCGGGCGCCGCCCCTGGCGCGCTCCGCGCGACGGGCAGGGGGTTTCGGTGCAGATTTGAGAAATCCGCGCGAACCTCCAAACGTTTCTGCTCATGCTGTTTCTTTTCCTCCAGATACAAGGGCAAGACAGATGATCATGCCGATCATGATCATGATGATGTTGATGTTGATGATGATGCTGATGCTGATGCCGCTACTGCTGCCACTACTTCTGCTGAAAGACGATGATGATGCTGATGATGATGCTGATGATCATGATGATGATGACCACGACGACGACGATGACGATGATGATGGTGATGATGCTGATGATGATGATGATGATGATGATGATGATCCTGATGATCCTGATGATCCTGATGATCCTGCTGATCCTGCTGATCCTGATGATCCTGATGATGCCGAGGATGAGGATGAGGATGACGATTAGGATGAGGATGATGAGGATGATGGGAATGATGAGGAGGATGAGGATGACGAGTGTAATGATTATGATGATGATGCTGATGATGATGGTGGTGGTGATGATGATGATGAGGAGGAGGAGGAGGAGGAGGATGGGGATGATGAGGATGATGACGAGTATGATAATGATGCTGATAATGAGGATGATGATGAGAGGGGGAGGGAGCTGGTCACGTCACAGTTCGCGCCAGCGCCGCCAATTCCCAGACGGCGCTGGCGCGACTCGTCACGTGACTAGGGGGGGGAAGGCAAGGGGGCGGGGCAAGTCACGTGCGTTACCGCGAGCAGTAAAAAACGGGCTCCAGGGGCGTGGACGTCGACCTCCCCCAGGTCGTCGAGGCGCGGAACTCGAGCGCGCTCTGCGGAAGTGGCCTCGACGCATGCTGCAAGGCGTGCGACGAGAGCCCAGGCTGCCGTGCCTTCGTGTGGAAGGAGCACGAGGCCCACGTTGAGGGTTGCCCGAGCGGCGACGCCTTCTGCTGGCTGCTGTCGGGCTTCTCTGGCATCCATCGCGCCAAGGATGAACGGCGCTCCGGGGAGGGAAGTCAGAGGGGGTTGGCCTTCTCAGAATGTGGCGTGGCCTCTCAGAAGCCCTCCGGCCTTCTGAGTAGCTGTTCGTGTTTTCGGAGAAGGCTTAGAAAGCTTCTCAGACGGCCGGAGGCCTTCTGACCGTTCAGAGAAGCCCCGCCCCCTCTGCTTTCTTCCCTGGGCGCGCCGCCGAAAGGATGGCGTGTTCGGTGCCAAGCAGGACCCGTCGACGGCACCCACCGTCACGTTCGACTGGACGGCCAAGGGCGAGCTCAGGGGCTCGGACGGGACGTGCATGACCGCGGCGCCAGTGGGCGGCGTGCAGATGTGGGCCAAGCCGCTTTCGAGCGCGCGGGTGGCCATCTTCCTCCTGAACCCGCTCGCCGCGCCGCAGGCGCTCGACTGGCCGCTCGCGGACGTTGGCGGCGCCCAACCGGGGGGTGGCGCGAGGGGGGTGGGCTTCCAAGAAGGCGGCGAGGCCTCTGAGAAGGCAGGGGGTCTTGCCATGTCTTGCCTTCTGAGAAGCCCCTCGCCTCTCAGGAGGCCGCCCCTCTTGCGCCACCCCCTTGAGGCTGTCTCTTCTGGTCCGGCGATCGCCCGGAGTATCGGGCCCGCCGGCCCCCCCCCTCTCCCCCCAGATAACGTTTGACCTTGTCGGTTGCTCAGGTCCGAGGGGGGCACGCAGTGCTGGGGCGCGCGGGCATACGGGGCTGCCCGCAGCGGAAAGCTTGGGTTATCGGCCGGCACCTCAGGGTCCATCTCGATCGGATCGATCCGATTCGATACCGGTTTCGGCCATTTCGATCCGATTCGATTCCGATATTCCGACGATCCGATGCGTCCCGATGCCTGCATGGCGCTGTTGTGCATGCTGGCGCAGACAATCCGATTCGATTTCGATTCCTTGCCGCTGCAGTCCGATCCGACGCGCATTCCGATCCGACCCGATTTCCAGATTCGATGCTGGCTGATCCTGCATCTCCCCCTTTCCCAGCGGATAGCCTGGGCTATCGCCGAACATTCAACATCGATTTCTCTTCGGAGAACAAGCAATGATGTAGACATGGGCTTTCGGAGATCCGCAGGGATCTCTTGGATCGGCGCTGGACCCCCCTCCCCGGCACGCGGAGCGCGCCCGGGGCGGCGCCGGAGAAGAAATCCGCGCGGACCTCCGAGAGCGGATGCTTCTGCGAGTATTTGATCCCCGATCCGACGCGCACTCCGATGCTCAGATTCGATCCCCCACCCAGCGAGCGGATGACCCGGGCGATCGCCGAACATCTTAAGAACTATTTCGAGAAGATCCAGCATCATGAATTTTCGACGCTCCGCGCGGATCTCTTGGATCTGCGCTGGGGTCCCCCTGGCGGTTCCTGGGGCGCCGCCCTTGGCGCGCTCCGCGCGCCAGGGAGGGGCCTGCAGAGGGCTCTGCTGCAGTTCAACAAATCCGCGCGGACCATCGAAAGTTTCTGCTTATGTCTTTGTTTGTATGTTTTCCGCTATTTCTCGGGTAAGAGATCGACTGCAGAATCGATTTACCCCCAAATTGCTTGTTCGTCGAATCTACAAAACATGCGAAGAGCGCTCCGCAGATCTGCGGAACACTCTCCGCACACGTCGTAGCTTCGACGGCAGAAGCAATCCTGGGGTGCATCAGTTCTGCGGCCGATGTCCTGCTCGAATTGTGGGCCTGCCCTGCCCAGGAGCGCGTGGACTTGCTTTCGTGGGCCGATCGCCGATCTATCGGCGATCTATCGCCGATTCCAGGTCGATATGTCCCACCTATGCGGGTCCTCCCCCCTGACGTAGAATGAATGTCCCGTGCATCTACGGAACATTCGTAGAATGAATGTCCCGTGCATCTACCGTGCATTCTACGCCTTCTTCGTAGACTTGACGAACAAAAGGTACACCAATTCTACAGTCGATCTCCTACTCGAATTGTGGGCGCCGCCGAGAACGGGTGCGATTTTTTCGGCGAGGCCAGGGCCAGACAGTCTGGACCATCTTGGAGCATCTTGGACCATCTGGAGAGAGCAAACCACGCACGAAACCAGACAGTGCGTGGGGAATGGACGTCCCAGCGATGGCACGTCCATTGTGGGCGCCGCCGAGGACGTCCCGCGCTTCCCGGACCTGGCTCTCGACTGCGCCGCGGCGGGCTGCGCCGTGCGGGACGTATGGGCCCAGCAGGACCTGCGGGCGGCCTGTTGTGGTGGTGTCACCCCCTCGCGCTCGGTTCTCTTTCGTTCCCGGTGCACCCCACCGCTTGCTTGACCGGCGGCTGACTGTCTTGGGATCATGTGGCGCACACGGACTTACGCAAAGTTTTGGTTGTGCTCCCGCCCTCGTTGGCAAGCGGGAGGCAGGCGCAGGGGCAGGGGCAGGAGCACGCAGTGGTAGTAGCAGTAGCAGTAGCAGCAGTAGCATCAGCAACAGCAACAGCAGCAGTAGCAGTACGTAGCAGTGGCAGTAGCAGTGGCAATAGTAGTAATCGTCGTCGTCGTCGTCGTCGTCGTCGTCGTCGTCGTCGTCGTCGTCGTCGTCGTCGTCGTCGTCGTCGTAGTAGTAGTAGTAGTAGTAGTAGTAGTAGTCGTCGTTGTAGGTGAAGGTGTAGGTGTAGTTGTAGCTGCAGGAGTAGTAGGAGTAGTAGTAGTAGTAGTAGTAGTAGTAGTAGTAGTAGTAGTAGTAGTAGTAGTAATCGTCGTAGTAGTAGTAGTAGTAATAGTAGTATAGTAGTAGTAGTAGTAGTAGTAGTAGTAGTAGTAGTAGTAGTAGTAGTCGTAGTAGTAGTAGTAGTAGTAGTAGTAATAGTTAGTAGTAGTAGTAGCAGTAGTAGTAGTAGTATAGTAGTAGTAGTAGTAGTAGTAGTAGTAGTAGTAGTAGTAGTAGTAGTAGTAGTAGTAGTAGTAGTAGTAGTAGTAGTAGTAGTAGTAGTAGTAATAGTCGTAGTAGTAGTAGGAGTATATAGTAGTAGTAGTAGTAGTAGTAGTAGTAGTAGTAGTAGTAGTAGTAGTAGTAGTAGTAGTAGTAGTAGTAGTAGGTAGTAGTAGTTAGTAGTAGTAGTAGTAGTAGTAGTAGTAGTAGTAGTAGGTAGTAGTAGTAGTAGTAGTAGGAGTAGTAGTAGTAGTAGTAGTAGTAGTAGTAGTAGTAGTAGTAGTAGTAGTCGTAGTAGTAGTCGTAGTAGTAGTAGTAGTCGTAGTAGTAGTAGTAGTAGTAGTAGTAGTAGTAGTAGTAGTAGTAGTAGCAGTAGTAGTAGTAGTAGTAGTAGTAGTGATAGCGGTAGTGGTAGTGGTAGTGGTAGTGGTAGTAGTCGTCGTCGTCGTCGGAGTCGTCGTCGGAGTAGTCGTAGTATCGGTGGTAGCAGATGTAGGGTAAGCAGTCACTTAGTCACGGGGCCACGGACATCACCTCGCCATCACCTGCTAATTTGGCCGCATGGGCATTGTTGGGACTCGCATGGATGGGTAATTACTCAGGCTTATGGGAATAACTCAGTCATGGGTCATCATCTGATCCCTACTGGACATCCATCAGGAGGCGGAGGGAGAGGATGGGGGAGGAGGAGGAGGAGGAGGAGGAGGAGGAGGAGGACAAGGAAGGAGGAGGAGGAGGAAGGCAGGGAGGAGGAGGAGGACAAGGAGGGGGAGGAGGAGGACAAGGAGGAGGAGGAGGAGGACAATGAGGAGGAGGACCAGTGTAAACCCAAGAGTCATCAACGATGTTGGCATAAACCCTCCCTCCAAGCTCCCTCTTCACAGGCCCCTACAAGGGTTCATTTTCACTGAGGGAACTGCCTCGTTGGAAGACAACCGTTTGATGATCCTGACGCATGCCGAGCATTATTCCCGGGACTCCCACGGCACGGCTCAACCTGACTGTTGCGTCTTGACGATGCTGAATCGTGCCAGAACGCCGTTCCTGGGACGTCAACACCCCGAACCAACGTCTTCGTTGCACCATAATAGTCTGGAGTCTTTCCAAAACACCATTTCTGGTACGAAACCCTTGCAAGTTTGTTCCCTACCTAGGCTCTGCCTAGAAGGGTTCTTACTCTCTTTCTTAAAGGGGCCGGGCAGTGCACACCGCCACGGGCGGTTCCCCCAGTATCCGCCCCGCGGTTCCCCCAGTTACGTCCCCTTAGCTTAGCGTTGCTTATCTCATCTTAGCTTAGCTTATGTCATCTTAGCTTAGCTTAGCTTCGTCTTAGCTCAGGTTTATCTTAGCTTAGCTTACCTTCATCTTAGCTTCTCTGAGCTTTAGCATAACAGAGCACAGCATAGCATAGCGTAGCATAGCATAGCGCAGCACAGCATGTCATAGCATCGCCCAGCATAGCATTGCATAGCGCAGCATAGCATAGCATAGCGTAGCATAGCATAGCATAGCATAACATAGCATAGCATAGCGCAGCACAGCACAGCACAGCATAGCACAGTGCAGTATAGCATAGCATAGCATAGCAGAGCAGAGCAGAGCATAGCTTAGCATAGCAGCAAAGCAAAGGCAAAGCAAATCATATCATAGTATAGCTTAGCATAGCATGGCATAGCATAGCATAGCATAGCGCAGCATAGCACAGCATAGCATGGCATGGCATAGCATAGCATAGCATAGCATAGCAACTAATGCTGCTTTCCTAGGGGTTCCAACTTCTAGGTAGGGTCGCACTGGGGTAATTTTAAATGTGTGCGGCGCTAAGGCGAGAGCCACATGTTGAAAACCATTACATTTTGAAAACCACCCGCCCTCAATCCGTGAAGCTCTTGCATGTTTTACAACGAATGTGCGCGGCGCTAAGGCGAGAATCACATGTTGAAAACCACCCGCCCTCAATCTGAGAAGCTCTTGCAATTTCCCCCCCCAAAAAAAGCCAATGTGCGCGGCGCTAAGGCGAGAGCCACATTTTGAAAACCACCCGCCCTCCATTTGTGAAGCTGCTGCCAATGTTTCAGCTTCAGGGCTAAAAAATTGTGAGGAAGTCTCAGGCGAAACGCCCAGCCCGCCCTTTCGACAGGCCTCGGGGTGCGACGGGGAGAAGTTGTCCATGTGGAAGAGGAATGGAGGAGCGGCCCTCCTCCAGGAGCCGAGCGTGTCTGCGGACGCTCCATCCGCGTCTCGCTCGCCCAGGGCCGGCGGGAGTTCCCCAGGCAACAAATCCAGGTCCCGAGTCTCCGCCGCGTCTCCTCACCGTGGCAAGTCTGGGTCCAATTGCGATGACTGTGATGGTGGCGAGGCTGGTGATGCGCGCACGAGTTGGCGACGATGCGAAACGACGACGGCTGACGATAATGCGGGATGGCAGGTGGGCCAACCGACCGCACACCGACGGGACATCGACGGCGGGACACCGACGGGACGGCGGGACACCCCCGGCCACCGCCCGCGGACACCGACAAGACACCGACAAGACACCGCGGCGGGACACCATGGCGGGACATTCCCGGCCACGCCGACCCACGGGAGGGGCGGTCTTTTGCCTAGCCACGGCGGAGTCGTTCTTGTCACCGGCCTCTCGCCTCGCCCGCACGCGCGACACGAGCCCGGAGCCGAAACCGATTTCCCGGCGGGGGGCTCCCGCTTCGTGTCGGTCTCACCCCCAGCCTCCGACCCTGGCCACCGCTCCGCAGAGCGGGAGGAGGAGGAGGAGGAGGAGGAGCAAGAGGAGGAGGATGTTTTCACAAGGCCTCTACTGGCGAGTAGCTTTGCTTCGGCAGCCGAGAAACACCTGGCCCGAGCGATGACAAACGCAAGAGAGCCACCACCCAAGGGCTAAGGGACTAATCGGAGTCCGAGAATTCCTCGCGGCTTACGCGAGCAGCTTGCGCCAAAGGAGCCTCGTCGTCTTCTTTGCGGAGGACGGCGTGCCTTCAGGCACACCGCGCACGTGCAGTAAGTGCTACACCATTCCCACTGGTGGTGGTCTCGTGCTAAAGCACCATTCCTGAGACTTCAACGCCACAAGTCAACATGAGTGTTGCGTCTTGTCGATCCTGAATCGTGCCAGAAAACCATTCCTGGGACTTCACCGCGAATCCACGTGACTGCTGCGCCCAGACGCTTCCCAAATCGTGACGGAACCGATGCGAACTGTTTGAAAACCACCTACCCTAATCCGTGGAACTGTTGCGAGTTCCAAGCCTCAGGGTTAGCAATGGTGAGGACGGCTCATGCAATAATTGTGCCCGGCCCGCCCCAGCGACATGTCTGGGTGTGCGGCAGGGAGGAGGTAGTCACAAGGAAAAGGGATTGAGGAGTTCGAGGTCGAGGACAAGATCGAGGACGACGACGAAGACGAGGAGGAGGAGGAGGGAGAAGGAGGACGAGGAAGAAGAGGAGGAGGAGGAGGAGGAGGAGGAGGAGGGAGAAGGAGGACGAGGAAGAAGAGGAGGACGAGGAACAGGAGGAGCAGGACCAGGAGGACGGCGAGGACGACGAGGACGAGGAAGAGGACGAGACGAGGACGAGGACGAGGACGAGGAGGAGAACGAGGACGAGGAGGAGAACGAGGACGAGGAGGAGGAGGAGGAGGAGGAAAGGGAGAAGGAGGAGGAGGAGGAGGAGGAAAGGGAGGAGGAGGAGGAGGAGGTCCGACCCTGTTCAGGACCTGGGCGTGTCGACGGGCACCATCCGCGTCGCGCTCGCGCCCTGGGCGAGCGCGTTCTACACCATCAGTGCGGGCGAGGCCCAAGGGGGGGGGCCTGCCGCGGCCTCGCGTCGCGCGCTGCCCAGTGCGGGGGAAGAAGGGTGCAGCTTCCGTTCGCCTTCGGGCCCCCCAGCTCGGGGCGCAAACACCGACATCAACGTGGACGCTTGGGGGTCCGCGCGGATTCCTCGCATCGGCGCTGGAGCCCCTTGGCGGCACCTCTGGCGCGGCCTCTTGCGCTCTCCGCGCGCCATGGAGGGGGGGGGGGGTCCAGCGCCGATCCAGTAAATCCGCGCAGGCCTCCAACAGCTGATGTGTATGTCATTATCTGTTCCCCTTTCCATGGCACCTTTCCTTTGGCTGTTTCGCTGTGGCTGGCGCGCTCAAGGAGGAGGGCCCAGGGAAGAGGGAGGAGCGGCGACGGCGACGACGACGACCACGGCAACGAGTCAAACGAAACAGCCTCTTGCACACGCCGGCAGGGTCGGCGGTTTTAATGGCACCATTCCTGCAACCCTCGATCCCCACCCACCTCGGTCGATCCCCCCTGTTGTGAGACGCCTTCCTGCGCTCGCGCTGTCCCACCTGCCCGCTCGCTTTACCGGTGCTCCGCGGCCATCGGGCAGCCAGATTTGTGCCCGGCTTTCTCTGCGGCAGCGTCGATTCCTGACGACTTCGGCGATGGTTTCTGACACCGCGCGGATCGTTCAGACTTGAGCGATCGTGGCTCGCCGATAGCGCAGATAGTTTGATATCACCGCTCTCGGGCCAGTGGCGGCGTTTGGCCTTGAACGCCCACGCTGGGGTCGCCGTCGTGTTGACATGACACGAACTTGTTGTAGGTTAGCCACGGGGACGCGAAGATCGTGGCGCCTCGCGCGCCGCGGCGTGGGCAACAGCGGTTGCCTTTCTCCAGGGGGGCGGCGGGAGGGCGTGAAGATGCCAGGATCGAAGGAAGGACGTACACGCACACGAGTCCACGTTGGTTTCGAAAGCACGCATTGCGCGAACGTTCGGATTTCGAGAGACTCGCCTCGCGGACCGGGGGGCCGTATTCGTGCGCGTGGCTGGGCGCGTACGTCCTTCGTGGGCTTCCTCGGATGATCGCGCGTCGGGCATCACCCGGGGAACAAGGACCGGCATGAGCATCAGCTTTTGGAGCTCTGCGCGGATCTTTTGGGTCGGCACCTGGGGCCCTGCGGGCAAACTTCGGCTTTCGGGGGTGGTCGTTCCGGACCCTGGGACAAACGAGAGAATCATTCAGAGACGGAGAAGCGACGCCCGGAGAAGGGGTCGAGACTTCTGGGGCCAGCAGATTGGAAGCAGAGAACAGGTCCTCGGATGTCTGGATATTCGCTCTGAGCGTGCTCCTCTTCCTTTCCGAGCGCTCTGTCTCCTCCTTCCCCTGTTGTGCCCAGTTCGGCCCCGTAGATTCGCCTCTGCGGCACGAAAGCTTGGGCATTATCCTGGCCAGGCCAACCCTGCGCCCAGGGTCGGCGCACGTACCTCCCTGGGCCAGCAGGGCGTACGACCACCGTTCTCGGACCCAGGGTGGGTTTGGTCGGGTCAGGGCGTGTGCAGAGATTGAAGCCGTCTGGGGGTCTGAGGTGGCCCAGCATTGGTTCCGGCCAGCAGGACGGGCGGGCATGTTCGACGTTTTGGGTCGGGCAGGTTTTTTGGTTTTCTCTGCGCCCAGGTACCGTTTTCGGGCCCCGGGACAGAGAAAAAATGGCTCCGGGGCGAAAAAAGCGCAAGATGGACCCCCCTTCGGAGGGGTCTGGAGACCCATTTTGAGCGGTTTCGGCCTCGATCCCCTGGCCGCCTCCAATGCAGAGGTTGTCTTTCGAACCAGCTTCAGTTTTGCACATGAGCGCACGCAAGAAGCAAGACACTTCGAGTACCGAGGAGTTCGGTAGCAAGTCGTGGGGCCTTTTATATCCTTTTATGCCCTCGCCATTCCGCCTTTAGGGCGCACTATCGTCGCTGAGCGTCTGGCAATCGATGAGATAGCGCCGATTCGGGTCGATTTAGCGTCGATTCGCAAGAGCCAAAAAGATGGTATGGGAGGCTCCCGCGACTTGCCACAGAAGAGGAGGATCGATTTTTGGAGCGTTTGGGTACCCTTTGTGGACCTCCACGGGGCTTCCGCGGATCCCTCGGTTCTGGGCATCCTGGGCTCCTCCTGCTCCTTCTCGGCCTGCCAAATGTCCTCGTCCTTCCCGTCATCCTTTGTTCATTGTCCTCTTCCCCCTCGTCCTCCTTGCGCTCTTTCTCCCGCTCACTTTCATGCTCCTCCTCATCCTCCTCTTTCTTCTACCCTTTCTCCTCAGCCTTCCCCTCTGTCAGTTCTCCTTCCGCAGCATCCATCTCACCCCCCTGTCCATGCTTCTGCTGCGATCCCTCCTCTCGTCGTCATTGTTTCTCATGCGTCATGGTGGACGGCAGGCAGCTTTTAATTATCCTGGTGCACCTGAACCTGCCGACGCTGTCGGAGGCGAAGCGTTGGCCAGCATCACCGTGTGATGGGCCGGGCGCATTTGTACATCAGCCCGAGCGGCTATCGGCAGAGCGAAGCATTGGGGTCAATCGTAGTTGTCGTTCATACTGTTGTTGATGTAGCAGGTGTGATCGTGCTGGCAGCGTAGCTATTTCGAGTAGCAGCAGCAGTGGAAGCAGTGATAACAGCAGCATGAATCTCAGTAGCAGTCGCAGTTGTAGTCGAACGAGTACCAGGTAGATACTACGAGTGATACTAGGGACTGTGCTCTGTATGTTATAGCAATAGCGGCAGCACGATCAGGAACCAAATACAAGGAGGTGAGTGAAATTGGCATAGCGAAGTTTGCCCGTGGGAAGGCATTGTAGTTGCAGCATACACTTCCGCGCCCCTCGATCGTACCAGTGTGCTCCTTCGCGGTGGCATGTGGTCATGTATGATGTTTAGTATTGCGCGTCATGATGTATTGACTTTCGCTGTATTCTTCCGTCTAGTGCCCCATTGATGAATGCCGAGCTGGCGGGGGCTTCGCGTGCATCCGAGCTAGCATGGCAGGATGCCTCCTAGTCCACACCGGTGAAATAGTTAGCTTAGCATCATCATTTGCGTCCTCACGCCCATGACGTCACCATCAGAAGGGAGCAGTTCTGCCCATGGCCCATGAGGATAAACGATCATGCACCCTGTGCCCAGAAGTTCCTGTCCAATCCTGAGACGGACCTCCCAAGCTCATTAAAAGGTCTTTGAGATTCCTGCCGAAGCTCTTCAGAAAGCTATGTTAGCCAGCGTGGACCCCAAACAGTGAGTTTCTACTACACTGTATATATACACATATACGTGTGATGTAGATTATATCTGGAGACATCTATGTGGTGCCATCTATGTAGAGCAATCAGTGCTGTTGTGCAATATCTGTTGTGCAATCTATGTGTTGCAGTCTATGTGCAATCTAAGCAACGCAATGCAAAGCAACGCAAAGTAACGCAAAGCAATGCAACGCAACGCAAAGCAATGCCATAGAAAACACCGCAAAGAAACGCAGAGCAAGGCAATGCAAAGCAAGGTAGAGCAACGCAAATCAAAGCAACGCAACGACGAGGCGGCGACGGGGCGGCGACGGCGAGCAGGGAGCCGCCAGACTGGCACGCAGGCCCAGACGACGGGTGGCGGCGACGGGGCGGCGCTGGCGAGCATAGAGCCGCCAGACCGTCCCGCAAGCCCAGTTCCTTCGAAAGCAATCAGACACCTCAAGTGCAAGCACTGTTTGGGGAGCTAGCTCCTCGGATGGTTTGGAGAGGGCCAGCGCGATAGACATGTTTGGATGCTTTACGCGTACGGGGGTCTCAATGTACGATCTGCCTTGTTTGATTTGATCGCTGCCAGCGGGTAGGCCCCTGGATTTGATTAATGTATTTGTCGCCAAGCGCATTCTCTGGGGGGGCAGGCGGCAAAATTATGACACTGGCACTCGGACCACAACATAGGTAATTGGGAAACATAGGCGCTGGAACAATCGAGCAAGAACGTCGAACCAAGTAACGTTCCCAGAATCTGGGCACAGGAGCAGCAGAGCCAGTCCGTCAATCTAGGCCATTTCCGAGAATCCATGCACAGAGGCAACCAACGAACAGCAGACGGCCGAACAGAGCAAGCTTGCGGAACCCAGACACCTCAACGGCCGAGCCAGGCCGACGAGCCAGGCGAGCTTCTGGTCACCCAGGCTCTGGAGCAGGTGTTGCTACACTGTAGCGCCAGGCAAGTTCTATGACTCCATTGGCGTCACCCCAACATACTAACACTATGTGTGGGTCGCCCCCCCCCCTTCCTGGGGCGACATGCGCGCCGAGAAATCGTATACCATATGTTTCGTGGCGGGCGCTTTCTGGCCGTACCGCTTGGGAATGATATCGAATATGCCTACGTGGCCGAGCGTTGTGGCAAGAGCTCTGCCAAGCTATCGGACCATGTGTTCCCCCAGCCGTTGTGAAGACTCTTCGGGGAACCCTTTGGGGAGGATGGCGGGGAATATCAGGAGGAGGAGGAGGAGGAGGAGGAGGAGGAGCAAGGAGGGGGCATCTTGGGAGCCTCTGGGGGCACTCTTGGGGCCCCCTGGGAGCTTCCGGGGAGCCTCTTGGAAACATCTTTGGAGCCTCCTTGGGCTTTTTGGGCCTCTTGGGAGCCTTGGGGCTTCTCAGGGGCCGCTTTGGCCGTCTTGGGCCTCTTGGGAGCCTTGGGGGGCTTCTCAGGAGCCTGTTTGGCCGTTTTGGTGGCCTCCTGATCCGTCTGACGCCGTCGGAAGCCGTCTTTGGGCCCTCTCTGGGCCGACTTGGGGCCATCTTGGGGTGCTCCAGGGCCGTGTTGGAGGTCATCTTGGGCGTCTTGGAGGCATCTTGGGCTGTCTTGGGGCCCTCTTGGGGCCGTATTGGGGCATCTTGGGCTGTTCTGGGGCCATCTTGGAGGCCTCTTGGGCGATATCGGGGGCCTCTTGGGTCGTCTTGGGCTGTCGGAAGGCCGACAAGAAAGCAAATGCCAAAATCCTTCAAGCACCGATGGATAATCGATGATTTTGGCCTCTTCGGGCCCTCCTGGAGGACGTCTTGGGGGCGTCTTGGGAGCCTCTTGGACCATCTTGGAGGCTTCTAGGGTGGACTCGGAGGCATCTTGGAGCCATCTTGGGCCGTCTTGGTGGTTTCTGCGGCGGACTTGGAGGCAACTTGGACCATCTTGGGCCATCCTGGAGGCCAGCTTGGGCCAATGTAAGCATCTTTGAAGCCATCTTGAGCCGTCTTGGAGATTCTTGGGCTTACGCCACACCGCCGACCCCTTGATGTACATTGTCCCCCCTCTTGCAGCCGTCTTTGGAGCCTCTTGAAGGTGTCCTGGTATGTCTGTCAGGGGCCTTCTCGGAGCACTCTTGAAGTCTCTTGGGGGCCGTTCTGGGGTCTCTTGGGGTCTATTGTGGGCCTCTCGGGGGTTGTTGGGGCTTATTTGTGGCTTCTTGGGGGCCTCTTGGATCCTTTTGGGGGCTTCTTGGGGCCGAGGGTTCGAAATTTGCCTTGGGATGGTTTGGCAGGGTCCACTTTTGCGCTCTTCACCCCCTCTTCACCCCCTCTTGGGCTCGTCTTGGGAGCCTTTTGGGCCGTCTGGGGCGGCTCTTGGGCCGTCTTTGGGCCCTCTCTGGCCGTCTTGGGGCCGTCTTGGGGGAATATTGGGCCGTCTTGGGGCGGTTTTGGGAGCTTCTTGGGCCGTCTTGGAGCGTCGGAAAGCCGAAAGGGCGAGAAGGCCCCCTTCCTTCAAAAACCAATGGAAAATCAACGATTTTGGCTTCTTGGGCCGCTCCCAAGAGGCCTCTTGGGGACCTCTTGGGACGTCTTGGAGGCCTCTTGGGCTGTCTTGGGCACACCTTGGGCGTCTCCGAGCGCTCGTTTGGCGTTTCGAGGCGCTCGTGGGCGGTCTTGGAGGCCTCTTGGGGCATTCCTGGGCGGTCTGTAGCCCCTCTTGGGACCGAAAGAGCCCCATGACGCGCTCGTGGTCGACCCCCCCCCCCCCCTCCAAATCGACCGGACCAGGCTCCCGGGGGAGGGGTTTGGGGAGGGGGAAAGCATCTCACACGCCGATGATCCCCAAGGGGTCGGCGGATTTGCTTGTGGACGTTGTGCTCGTTTGGGGGCTTTCCGCGTGGCTGGCGCACTGGGCCGGAGCCCCAGGAGAGAGTTCTTGTGAAAAAAGAACCACAACCAAAGCAGTAGGATCTAGCACGCCAGGCACCCCTGAGGCAAGACTACAGGGGGCGGCGGATCAAATGACGTTCGGCCCATCCCGCCACCGTGCCTGGGTTGTGGGTATGAAGCCTTTGGATGTTCGTTGGGATCTCGTGGAAGGCCTCTTGGAGGCAGTTTGGAGGCCTCCTGGAGGCCGTTTGGGGGCCTCTTTCGGGCCTCTTGGGGGCCTCTTGGGGGCATCTTGGGGGCATCTTGGGACCTGGGCGCCTCTCGGGGCCTCCTGAGGGCCTCGTGCGGCACAAGGCTCGGATTTGCGGTTCGTGTTTCCTCTCTTGCCCCCTTTTGGGGCCCTCTTGGGCCGTCTTTGGCGCCTATTGGGCCGTCCTGGGGCGCTTTTAGGCCGTCTTGGGGTGGTCTTGGAGGCCTCTTGGGCTGTTCTGGAGGGTCGGAAATCCAAAACGGCGAGAACGCCCAAATCCTTCACAAGCCAAAGCACAATCAATGATTTGTGCCTCTTGGGGCCCTCTTGGGAGGCCTCTTAGAGGCCACTTGGAGCGTCTTGGAGGCCTCTTGGGCCATCTTGAGGCCATCCTAAGCGTCTTGGAACGATCTTTCGGCGACCCGGGGTCCTCCTTGGCCCTGGAAAAGGCATGCCACACCAACTCCTGGAGCCCAGGGGGCACGCGGGAAGCCCCAAGAGACTTGGCAATTTCGGCTTCGGGCCCCTTGAGACTGCTCAGGGCTGAGGACTGAGGCTTAGAGGGTTAGGCAAACGACCTGAGGACATGCTCACTCCGTGCACAGATGCAGGGTGGCGGATACTACGAGATGCTTGTACTATATGTTCTGTTCGGGCGTGCACTTCCGGGGAGGGCACATAGTATTGGTGTGTCTTTTGCGTCCCATCTCCAGGCACAGCCGAATCGGACATACAAGCCAAGCAATTGTTCGGAGTCCATCGATGGGTTTATTTTCGACCACCAGTACCTAGGTAGGACGGGGGAGAAGGGAGGATGGGGAGATCCTCCTCCTCTTCTTCCTCCTCCTCCTGCTTCTACTCCTTCTCCTCCTCCTCCTCCTCCTCCTCCTCCTCCTTCTCCTCCTCCTCCTCCTCCTCCTCCTCCTCCTCCTCCTCCTCCCTCTCCTGCTTGTCGTGGTGGTGGGAAATCTGCCCATCATCCACGCGCAGGAGTTGCCAAGTGCAGGACCGACGGGCAGAGCACAGCCTCGGGGTCCGAGCCACACCGTCGAAGCCAGGCAGGCTGCAGGTATCCGGGAACGGGAAGCGCCGAGCCGGATGTTCGAGCTGAGCAGATTCCTGACGGACGAACAGCATCGAAGCAGAAGCAAATGCATGACATAGATTTTCGGAGCTCCGAGCGGATTTCTTGGATCGACGTTGGACCCCCCTGGCGGCGTCTCCGCCGCCGCCGCCCTTTGCGCGCTCCGCGCGCCAGGGAGGGGAAGGGGGGGGGGGGCAGCGCCGATCCAAGAAATTCGCGCCAAGCTTCGAACATTACTGTTTATGCTGTTTTTTTTTATTTCGCAAGCGAATCCATACTCAAAAGGGGGTGAGAACTGGTTCTAGACTGTCAGACCCGGGGGGAAGACTCCCGTTCGAGCGGGGACCTCCATCCGACAGCACGCAACCATAGCCCATTCCGTTCCCCCTATGGGTAAGGTGTGTGTGTGTGTTGTTCGCTCACCACCTCTTTGCGTAGCAAAACGTGGGAGCATTGTAGGGTAGAAGAGGAAGGAGCACGAGTAAGACATATCGATATGTGCATGTCTCGTCTTCGTGGTGCTGCTGCTAGGAGTTCCTCAGGCTTCTGTGTCGAAGGTGACAAAACTCAACTTTAGCTCCTCAATGGTTCTCTCCTTCCGAGGAGACGCCGCTCGCGTGGAGGCCGCTCTCGATTCGCTCCTCGGAGGTCGGGGTGAGCGCTTCGCGTAGTCTGCATTGTCGGCCTAACGTACGTTGCCCTTCTCAGGTTTGCGCCGAAGTGGGGCTACTAGTTTTTGAAGCTCATTCCAAATGAGTCTCCAGGTTTCATGCGCTACAGCAGCCTTTCGACAACATTTCCTCTGCGCCACCCTTTTCCGCCACCATCCATGCAGGTCTAACGCGGCCTCCTGCGCCGCAGCCACCACGGCCTGCTCCTCTCCCTCCTCCATCTCCTCTTCCGCCTCCTACCTCTTCCTCCTACCTCCTCCTCCTCCTCCTCCTCCTCCTCCTCCTCTATCTGCTCCCTTCTCCATCTCCTCCACCTCATTCCTTCACAACCCTTCGCCTCCACCTACTTGTTCCTTCTCCTTCTCCTTCTCCCATGCCTCCTACACCTCATCATCCTCATCTCTTCTTCACCTCCTTGGCTCTTCCTTGCCTTCCTCCCCTCCTCTCCCTTTCACCTCCACCTCCTCCCTCTCCTCCCTCGCTCACATTGCCTCCCCCCTCCCTTCTTCGCTTCATCCTCTTCCCTCCTCATCATCCTCCCTCATCCCGCCTCCCTCATCCTGCCTCCTCCCTCCTCCTCCTCCACCTCCTCATCCCTGCGAATGGGGAGCGAGTTTCCTCGATCTCTGGCATTATCCCATTGAGTGAAGCTCCCGAGCAAATTGCTCAGGATGGCAAGGACTTCACCATCCTAATGCTGTCCAGGCAAGCGTTGATTGCTGGCCCATCGACGATATACATAGATTTGCTCGGAGCCGCTCAGGGACCCAGGAATGTTCGGGCCCATTGGTGGGCCGAAGTCGGGGACCGTCTCGAGGGGCCCTCTGCGGTGAAGACCAGGTCTCACACCACTCCGGGCTCAGCTGCTGGATGGTCTCATCACTCATCAGCAGCGGCGTGGCAGCGCAGTTGCCGATGGGATGCCCACCGTCTCCCCCGCCGTCCCTGACCCCCCCCCCCGGGCCCGGGGCTGGTCCTTCTCGGGCTCTCTGGGCGCGTTCGCGCCAGTGGAGGTGTGCGGCCCGCTGCCGCCGCTGCTGCTGGCTGCCCTCCTCCTGCTCCTCCGAGAGCTCTTCCTCTGGGCATGGCGGAGCGGGGTCGGGCTCGGGGTTCGGGCCACGGCTCGGGGGAGCTCGACGCCCCCGCCAGAGTCAAGCGGTCAGAGCTCTCCAGATGGCCTGCGCCAGGCCACGCCATTACAGAAAGCTGCTGCCACCCATTGTTCGCCAACGCCCCAAGGGTCCATCGCGTCTGGCGCCAGCTGTGGATCGGCGTGCACGATCGGGGGCAGCGTCGGCAAGTCGGCTCTCGTGTCGGACTGCCTGGGTCGTCGGTCCGAGGGGCGCTAACGTCACTTGGCTTGGACTTCGCATGGCCGCCACCCCAGCAAGAGGAATTTAGTCATGTCTCGGGCCACTACGTTACCAGAGAGTGCCCGGGCCCATTTAGCCTTACAGATGGGCCTGGATGACCCTCCCTAGCTGGTGCCTCTCAGCATTCCTGACCCTGGTGCGGGGCTGAAGGGGGTGAGTGGGTCTTCGGGGTCGTGTGAAAGCTCCACTGGGAGGCTCTCTGGGGGTGTTCCCGTTTTGGCCGCCCCTGACAACCCTTCGGGAGTTGGGCCGCCGCAAGACCTCCAGAGGGGGCTGGACCTTTTTGGACTTCCTTAGGGAAGGCAGTGGCACTAGGAGCCTGGGTGGAGAGCGAAACTCGGTTTCGGGCCCGCCAGGGTCGGAACGAACCCTCCTTCCCCAATGAGGACGGATAACCATCTGGTACCGTACTCAATGTGCTGGCAAGGTGTCCTGCGTCTCTTCCTGGCAGTTTTAATTGGGTCGCACTTCTCGCTGGTCGCTGCGCTCCCTCTCCCCTCCTCATTCTTCCTCCTCCTCCTCCTCCTCCTCCTCCTTCTCCTCCTCCTCCTCCTCCTCCTCCTCCTCCTCCTCCTCCTCCGCATCATCACCATCATCATGGTCATCACCATCATCACCTGTAGCGTCATCATCATCATAGTCATCACCATCATCACCGGTAGCGTCATCATCATCATCATCATCATCATCATCATCATCATCATCATCATCATCATCATCATCATCATCGTCATCGTCATCGTCATCGTCATCGTCATCGTCATCGTCATCGTCATCGTCATCGTCATCGTCATCAGCAGCATCAGCATCAGCATCAGCATCAGCATCATCAGCATCATCATCATCATCATCACCATCACCATCATCATCCTTCATCATCCTTCATCATTCTTCATCATCCTTCATCATTCACCTTCTGTGTCACGGCTCGAGGCTCGTCGCGCACTTCCGCCCGCGGCCCCGGGCGTTGGCGACGCAGTCGGGGCCATGCCGGAGGAGGTGACGGTGGATGACGGCGACGGCGTAGAGGTGACAGGAGAGGGGCCGCCAGCCGAGCGCTTAGCGTTGCCGCCTTCATTGCCGCTTTCAGGAGGAGCAGGAGCAGGAGCAGGAGCAGGAGCAGGAGCAGGAGCAGGAGCAGGAGGAAGTGAAAGAGGAGGAGGAGGAGGAGGAGGAGGTCGAGGAGGAGGAGGAGGAGCTGGGAGGATGAGCTGGGAGGAGGAGCAGGAGGAAGAACAGGAGGAGGAGGAAGAGGAGGAGGTGGAGGAAGAGGGGGTGAGGGAGGGAGGGAGGGGGGAGGGGATGGATGGATGGATGATGGATGGATGGATGGATGGATGGATGGATGGATGGTGGATGAATGGAGGACGAGCATGGAGGAGGAGGAGGAGGCGGAGGAGGAGGAGGAGGAGGAAGAAGAGGAGGAGGAGGAGAAAGAGGAGGAGGAGGAGAAAGAGGAGGAGGTGGAGGAGGAGGAGGAGGAGGAGGTAGATGCAGGAGCAGGAGGAGAAGAGGAGGAGGAGGTGGAGGAGCAGTCGGACGGAGGAATGAGGAGGAGGGCGTTGGCGAAGACTTGGAGGAGGAGGAGGAGGAGGAGGAGGAGGAGGAGGAGGAGGAGGAGACGGCAGTAGAAGGTGAGTCCAAGTCGCCCGAACCCACTACACAAAAAGACAAAACATGAGGGGTCCCCGCAGGCTAGATACAGCCAGGACCCAGGACCCTCAACCGCTACCTAGGCGGTTCCCCACGCCTCAACCTCTTGAGGCGAGCTTTCTGGGCGCTGAGGGTCTGGAGACTTCCGAGGGGCCTTTGCAAGGGGCCTTAAGGGCAAGCACCCTCCCCGACTCTCCGACCACACACGCGCACCGCTCACAGAACGCATAGGCCCCGACCTCGGCCATTCGATGGCCAGGGCTGCGAAAGAGGGTCTAGTCAGCCTGGCAGGAGGAGGAGAAGGGAGGAGGGAGGGAGGAGGAGGGAGAAAGGAGGAGGGAGGAGGGAGGAGGAGGAGGAGGAGGAGGAGGAGGAGGAGGAAGAGGTGGTGCAGGATGCGGAGGCGGGAGGAGGAGGAGGAGGAGGAGGAGGAGGAGGCGGAGGAGGAGGAGGGGGAGGGGGTGCGTCGACGACGACGACGACGACGACGACGACGACGACGACGACGACGACAACGATTACGACAGACAGTTGGCGGAGGAGGATGGCAGTAGGAGGAGGCAGGGTTGGCGGCGGGAGGTGCCAGTATGAGGATGCTGCGACGACTAAGGCGAAGCAGCAGAGGCTCGACAACAACCCGCTCACCGGCGTGCCTTACACCCGACGGTCCCGGGAGCCGCTGGCAGCAAGACAGCTGCGACAGCGACGTTTGTTTCGTGTTTTCAGGGAAGGCAGCGTATCTAGAACTGCACCAGCCTGGCTTACGACTTTTTGGCAGATGCTGTGATCCGATTCTACGCGGATGGCGGGCGGGTCCTTTTCAAAATGATGTTCTTGCTTGACGCTTCTTTGAAGCCTGCCATCGTTCGCATTGGCATTTCTAATCATGACAGGATGGGGTGCAGGGCCTTCTCAGAACGGGGCTTTGCCTGAATGGCAGACCGGTGAGGCGCTCGTCTTTCCAAGAGGACCCCCCCGTAATGGAAAGAAGTGGTCATAGGGACCTGTGGAGGAGGGGAGAACTTGGGACGGGAGGGTGTCCTGAACCATCGTTGGCGCATTATTGGTTTAGTATGATCCCTCCTCACCCTCTCTCTCCACCTCATCCTATGGCACCTCCAATCCTTCTGATTGCTCATCCCTCGCTCCCTATATCATCGCTCCTATTTGTCCTCGATTGTGTGGCGTTGCTCGGGCATTGATATGTATGATCGCTGCGTCTTCCCACGTTGTCAGAAAATCAAACAACATCGACGGATGATCACGATAAGCGGCTTGGCCAAGTGCATGCCCTCAAAGGAGAAGAGGATAAGTAGAGACTCTGGCGTAGAGGTAGGCATTCCTTACTCTGTCCCTTCTTCCACCGCCTCCTCCTCCTCCTCCTCCTAGCTCCTCCTCCTCCTCCTCCTCCTCCTCCTCCTCCCAGCCCCTCCCAGCTCATCCCAGCTCCTCCTCTTCCTCCTGCTCTTCCTCCTCCTCCTCCTCCTCCTCCTCCTCCTCCTCCTCCTCCTCCTCCTCATTGTCCTCCTCCTTTTCCTCCTCCTTTTCCTTTTTCCCAACCCTCCTGCGTTGGGTTCTCGTTTTGAATAGAGCAGTGCGGTCGCGTCTCCTCCTTCTCCTCCTCCTTCCCGCCTCGTTTCTCCTTTCCTCTTCCCCCCTGCACCTCACCTTGCTCGTCGCCGCGTGTCAGCTTGCCTCCTGCCTGGTCATCCCTGTGTGGGGCTGCGATCTGCGAAACTGTCGCCACTTTCGAGGGCTGCTGGGGGGCCCAGCGGAGTGGGGTCATACTCAGACCCAGACTAGACCTCGCCATCCCTGGGGGGGCTGCGATCTGTGAAACTGTCGCCACTTTCGAGGGCTGCTGGTGGGTCCAGCGGAGTGAGGCACCACGAGGACTCAGATTAGACCTCGCCATCTGTGGGGGCTGCGATATGTGAAACTGTCGCCACTTTCGAGGGCTGCTGGTGGGTCCAGCGGAGTGAGGCACCACGGGGATTCAGATTAGACCTCGCCATCTCTGTGGTGGCTGCGATCTGTGAAACTATCGCCACTTTCGAGGGCTGCTGGTGGGTCCAGCGGGGTGAGGCACCACGGGGATTCATATTAGACCTCGCCATCTGTGGGGGCTGGGGGGCTGCGATCTGTGAATCTGTCGCCACTTTTGAGGGCTGATGGTGGGTCCAGCGGAGTGAGGCACCACGGGGATTCAGATTAGACCTCGCCATCTCTGTGGGGGCTGGGGGGCTGCGATCTGTGAAACTGTCGCCACTTTCGAGGGCTGCTGGTGGGTCCAGCGGAGAGATGCACCACGGGGATTCAGATTCAACCTCGCTATCTGTGGGGGCTGCGATCTGTGAAACTGTCGCCACTTTCGAGGGCTGCTGGTGGGTCCAGCGGAGTGAGGCACCACGGAGATTCAGATTAGACCTCGCCATCTGTGGGGGCTGCGATCGGTGAAACTGTCGCCACGTTCGAGGGCTGCTGGTGGGTCCAGCGGAGTGAGGCACCACGGGGACTCATATTAGACCTCGCCATCTCGGTGGTGGCTGCGATCTGTGAAACTATCGCCACTTTCGAGGGCTGCTGGTGGGTCCAGCGGGGTGAGGCACCACGGGGATTCAGATTAGACCTCGCCATCCGTGGGGGCTGGTGGGCTGCGATCTGTGAAACTGTCGCCACGTTTGAGAGCTGCTGGTGGGTCCAGCGTAGTGAGGCACCACGGGGATTCAGATTAGACCTCGCCATCTCTGTGGGGGCTGGGGGGCTGCGATCTGTGAATCTGTCGCCACTTTCGAGGGCTGCTGGTGGGTCCAGCGGAGCGATGCACCACGGGGATTCAGATTCGATCTCGCTATATGTGGGGACTGCGATCTGTGAAACTGTCGCCACTTTCGAGGGCTGCTGGTGGGTCCAGCGGAGTGAGGCACCACGGAGATTCAGATTAGACCTCGCCATCTCTGGGGTGGCTGCGATCGGTGAAACTGTCGCCACTTTCGAGGGCTGCTGGTGGGTCCAGCGGAGTGAGGCACCACGGGGATTCAGATTAGTCCTCGCCATTTGTGGGGGCTGCGATCTGTGAAACTGTCGCCACTTTCGAAGGCTGCTGGTGGGTCCAGCGGAGTGAGGCACCACGGGGACTCAGATTAGACTTCGCCATCGTTGGGGGTGGCTGCGATCTGTGAAATTGTCACCACTTTCGAGGGCTGCTGGTGGGTCCAGCGTAGTGAGGCACCACGCGGACTCAGATTAGACCTTGCCATCTTTGGGGGGCTGCGATATGTGAAATTGTCGCCACGTTCAAGGGCTGCTGGAGAGCCCAGCGGAGTGGGGACATACTCGGACTCATATTAGACCTCGACATCCCTGGGGTGCTGCGATCTGCGAAACAATCGCCACTTTCGAGGGCTGCTGGGGGGCCCAGCGGAGTGGGGACATTCTCGGACTCAGATTAGACTTCGACATCCCTGGGGGGGGGGGGGATCTGCGAAACTGTCGCCACGTTCGAGGGCTGCTGGAGTGCCCAGCGGAGTGGGGACATACTCGGACTCAGATTAGACCTCGACATCCCTGGGGGGGCTGCGATCTGCGAAATTGTCGCCACTTTCGAGGGCTGCTGGAGGGCCCAGCGGAGTGGGGACATATTCGGACTCATATTAGACCTCGACATCCTTGGGGGGCTGCGATCTGCGAAACTGTCGCCACGTTCGAGGGCTGCTGGGGGGCCCATCGGAGTAGGGACATAGTCGGACTCAGATTAGACCTCGACATCCTTGAGGGGGGGGGGGCTGCGATCTGCGAAACTATCGCCACTTTCGAGGGCTGCTGGGGGGGCCAGCGGAGTGGGGTCATACTCAGACTCAGATTAGACCTCACCATCCCTGGGGGGGGCTGCGATCCGCGAAAGTGTCGCCACTTTCGAGGGCTGTTGGGGGGCCCAGCGGAGTGGGGTCATACTCAGGCCCAGATTAGACCTCGCCATCCTTGGGGGGACCGCGATCTGCGAAACTGTCGCAACTTTCGAGGGCTGCTGGGGGGGCCAGCGGAGTGGGGTCATGCGCAGATCCAGGTTAGACCTCGCCATCCTTGGGGGGGGGCCTCGACCTGCGAAACTGTCGCCACTTTCGAGGGCTGCTGGGGGGCCCAGCGGAGTGACGTCATGCGCAGAATCAGATTACCACCCCATTCCATCCTTCTCCTGCCCATCGTTCCCGTTACCGTTATTTGTCGAGCCTGGGGCTTCAATCCCCGTTCTTTCGATCGTCGTCTTGTGAGTCGTGCAACGCATGCGCATCTCACGTAGTTTGCACCACAATTCACCGCGCCTACACTGTCGCTGTTCCTGCTAATGTTGGCCAGCTAGCCGTGCCACTTGATGCACATGGGTTGGGTACGTCGCAGGGTATTGGTATCTCCTCCTTTTCCTTTTTTTTCTCCTCCTCCTCCTCATCCTGCTCCCCGCTCCTCCTCCCTCCTCCTCCTCCTCCTTCTCCTCCTCCTCCTCCTCCTCCTTCCTCCTCCTCCTCCTCCCTCCTCCTCCTCCTCCCCCTCCTCTCCTCCTCCTCCACCTCCTCCTCCTCCTCCTCCTCCTCCTCCTCCTCCTCCTCCTCCCCGCTCCTGCTCCTCCTCCTCTCTTCCTCCTCCTCCTCCTCCTCCGCCTCCTCCCCCTCCTCCTCCCCGATCCTGCTGCCCTGTGCTCCTCCTCCGCCCGGCTACTGCTCCTCGTCCTCTGTCTTTTCCAATAAGTCTTTCCTCTTTCCTTCCCTCCCTCCCTCCCTTCTTCCTTGCCTCACTTCCTCCTTGCCCCCGTCTCCTCCAACTCCTCCCCCTTCCCTCCCTCCATTCCCCCCTCCCTCCGCGCCCTCTCACAGAGCAGGTTCTACGAGCTGCTGGAGGCGAGGCAGAAGCTCCCCGCGTGGGCGGCGCGGGAGGACTTCCTGAGGCGCGCAGGAGGATAACAACGACGACGACGATAAGGAGGAGGATGAGGGTGAGGGTGAGGATGAGGATTATGGTTATCATGGTGATGGTGATGATGCTGCTGTCGATTATGATGATGATGGTGATGATGATGATGATGATGATGATGATGATGATGATGATGATGATGATGATGATGATGATGGTGGTGGTGGTGGTGGTGGTGGTGGTGATGATGATGATGATGAGGATGAGGAGGAGGAGGAGGAGGAGGAGTGATGGTGATGATTATGATGATGGTGATGGTGATGGTGATGATGATGGTGACGATGATGATGACGATGCTGATGCTGATGATGATGATACTGATGCTGATGCTGATGCTGCTGCTGCTGATGATGATACTGATGATGATGTTGATGCTGACGATGATGCTGATGATGATGCGGATGATGATGATTACGATGACAATGACGATGCTGATGCTGCTGGTGATGCTGATGCTGATGCTGCTGCTGCTGATGCTGATGCTGCTGATGATGACGACGATGATGATGGTGATGATGATACTAATGAGGATGATGCTGGTGGTGGTGATGGTGATTGTGTTGTTGATAGTGGTAACGGTGGTAACGGTGGTGATGTTGGTGATGATGATGATGTTGATGATGATGATGATGATGCTGTTGATGCTGATGCTGACTCTGATGATGATGGTGATGTTGATGTTGATGAGGATGATGATGATGCTGATGTTGATGCTGATGCTGCTGATGATGATGGTGGTGGTGGTAGTGATGACGATGAGGATGATAATGAGGATGAGGATGAGGATGATGATGATGATGATGATGATGATGATGATGATGACGACGCTGATTCTGATGCTGATGCTGATGCTGATGATGATGAGGAGTAGGAGGAGGAGGAGGAGGAGGAGGAGCTGGGGGGAGGAGGAGGAGGAGTAGGAGCAGGAGGAGGAGGATGAGGAGGAGGAGGAGGAGGAGGAGAAGTCCGATGCTGATGTTGATTATGCTGCTGCTGCTGCTGCTGATGTTGCTGCTGCTGATGATGACGATGATGATGATGATGATGATGATGATGATGATGATGATGATGATGATGATGATGATGATGATGATGATGGTGATGGTGATGGTGATGGTGATGGTGATGGTGATGGTGGTGGTGGTGGTGATGATGATGGTGGTGATGATGATGACGATAATGGTGGTGGTGGTGGTGGTGGTGGTGATGGTGATGGTGATGGTGATGGTGATGGTGATGGACGTGGTGAAGAGGTGGAGGAGAAGGAGGAGGATGAGGAGGAGGAGGGCAGGGCGAAGGGAGGGAGGCAGGCAGGGCGGGAGGAGCAGGAAGAGGAGGAACACCGGAGGAAGCCCAGCACACACCACCGATACCGCGATACTTTCCGTCCCAGGACCCTTGCCCATACAGATTGCCAGCATTTCTCGCAGCTTCACGTCGCGCTTGCGGCGAGAGCCCGCGGGCAAGGATGGAGGTCCCTTCTGGGAGTGCGGGGTCAGGGCCCGTGCTTACGTAATTGGATTCAGATCCAACCGTGTGGCGTTACGCGATACAACAACTCTGAGCAAGTGGAATGCTGAGCTGTGGCTCCGTATGGATCCAGCTATGGCCGCGGTGCGTGGCTCGACAGGTGCGTTACATCGACCGAGATAACACTCGATCCATGTAGCTGGCCGGCGCTTGAAGAAGCATGTGCGTGGCGCCAGACTCAGAGCGAGAGCCCGATTTTGAGAAGCAACCGCCTTCCATTCTTGCAGCCGCTGGGGACTTCAAGCGAGATGCTCTCTCAGCCAGAGGAGCCTCACGCGAGAGCTGGATGTTGAACAAACGGGCAGTTTTCGATCTAAGTAGTTGTTGGGAATTGCAAGTTTCATGGCCTTAAGCTTGCGGAAGTCCAAGGATGTAGCCGCGGCTTGAATGGGTATTGCATCCCATGCGTGTAGCTGTTGAGAAGTTTCAGCTTCTGTGGAAATATCTTGCTAGAACCGCGTTTTGAGAACGTTCCGCCCTCCGTCAGGGCAATTGTTGGAATGAGTTGAAAACGATGTGCGTGGCATCGACGCGAGATCCGCATTCAGAAAACGCCCCCCTCTCCATTCCTGTGGCTGCTGGAGACTCTTAAGACGAGCGCGCATGGTGCGAGGACCATATCTCGAGTGCGAGTCGGTGTCCATCCGAGCAGCTGTTGGAAATGCGAGGTTGTAGGATCAGAAGTTGTGAGGAAGTCTTGGGCGGAACGTCTGGACCCCTCTTCCAGCACGTCAAGCGGTACAACGGGGAGGATCTATTTCCTAACCATCTTCGGGTGTTGGGTCCTCGTGTTGGAGAGGCAGCACCCCGCGTCACTCCTTCCTCCTCCCTCTCCTCCACCTCCCTTCTTTGCCTCTCCCCTCTCTCGAGTCACCCCTCGCACGTTCTGTCGCCCCGTACGCACCGAAGGCCCCAGCGCCAGGGTTCGCATGGCGGCGCTGCGCCCGTTTCCGCGCACTCTTCGCGCGTTTTGTCACACCATGGATGGGAAGCTCCACCGAACGCCTCAGCGAGGGTCCGCATGGCTGCTCCGCGCCGCCGCGCCTATTTCGGCACACCCCTCGCACATGTCGCGGCCTCATGCGGAGCTCCACCGAAAGTTTTAGCGGCAGGGTCCGCATGGCGGCGCCGCACCCATTTCGGCACACCCTTCACGCGCGTCGTGGCCCACACATGGAGCTACCCTTCCTTCGTCCCATCTGCCTTGCGGTACTCGCACCCGCATGTGGTTGGGCCCTTCGCCAGGATCAGTGTCAGGCACGTGTATGAATGGAGCAGGGAAGGCGCATCAGCAGCTGGATAGGGAACACGCGGGCAGAGAATGCGGTGGAGGATATAGATTGGCGGAAGACCTCTCTGTAGGAATGAGGGTGGGAGGAGGGAAGAGGGATAGATGATGAAGGGTGAGGGTGGAGGGTGAAGGGAGGAGGACGTGGGGAGAAGGGAAGAGGGAGTGGGGATAGGAGGAATATAGAGATATAGAGAGAGGACGAGGGAGGAAAAGGGAGGACGAGAAGTGCCAGAGGAGGGAGAAGGAGGAGGAGGAGGAGGAGGAGGAGGAGGAGGAGGGGGAGAGAAGGACGATGAGGAGGATGGGGAGGAGGAGGAGGAGGAGGAGGAGGAGGAGGAGAAAGGGAGGAGAAACAATAACAAAAAAAAATATGTAGAAGAACGCGGAACAACGTTATGCAGAAGTGGGCTTGGGAGGGCGAGGGGAGGGGGAAGGGAGAGTGGGGAAGGCGGCAGAACATTGTCTTCCAGCCGAAGGATTCGCTTCCCGTATGCACGGGCGTGGGCCAGAGGGGTGAAGCCTGATCTTTGGATGTTTCTTCCGCTTTGGGAGCTCCCCCATAATTCCTTGAAGCCTAGTATCCGAGTGAGGTGGCCGAGCGGTCTTGCATTATCCCTGTGTGCGTGGTTGAAGTAGGGTTCCGCGGTGCGGATTGTTCTTGTTGTGCATTTTTGTCGTCGCTTCCCCCCGACCCGCGCCGCGACTTACCCGCGATCCCCGCGACCCGCCCACGACCCACGCGCGCCGCGACACGCCCGTGACTTGAGCTGCGCGGACGATCTACATATCGCCAATTCTGTTGGGCACGCGAAACAATTAAACTACAAAAAGCAAATACATAAGCATGACATACTTTAATCCGCGGTGTGTCCCGGCATTTTCGGAAATCACGATCCGTGTGATTGTTGGTAGTTTGTCCAAACCATCTTGTGGTGTTGGGTCCTCGTTTTGAAGAGCGGTCCCCGCGTTCTCCTCCTCTCGTGCCCCCCCCCTCCTCCCGACCGTCCGCATGCGTCCCGCACACCCAGTGCAGCGCTTCGTGGCCCCATAGGGAGCCCCACCGAAGGTCCCAGTGCTACCGTCCGCATGCGTCCCGCACACCCAGTGCAGCGTTTCGTGGCCCCACAGGGAGCTCCACCGAAGGTCCCAGTGCTACCGTCCGCATGCGTCCCGCACACCCAGTACAGCGTTTCGTGGCCCTCCTCCCCTCCTCCCTGCGTTTCACCCACCCAGTACAGCGCTTCGTGGCCCCATAGGGAGCCCCACCGAAGGTCCCAGTGCTACCGTCCGCATGCGTCCCGCACACCCAGTACAGCGTTTCGTGGCCCCATGGCGAGCCCCACCGAAGGTCCCAGTGCTACCGTCCGCATGCGTCCCGCACACCCAGTACAGCGTTTCGTGGCCCCACAGGGAGCTCCACCGAAGGTCCCAGTGCTACCGTCCGCATGCGTCCCGCACACCCAGTACAGCGTTTCGTGGCCCTCCTCCCCTCCTCCCTGCGTTTCACCCACCCAGTACAGCGCTTCGTGGCCCCATAGGGAGCCCCACCGAAGGTCCCAGTGCTACCATCCGCGTGCGTCCCGCACACCCAGTACAGCGTTTCGTGGCACCACAGGGAACCCCACCGAAGGTCCCAGTGCTACCGTCCGCATGCGTCCCGCATACCCAGTACAGCGTTTCGTGGCCCTCCTCCCCTTGCTCCCTGCGTTTCACCCACCCAGTACAGCGCTTCGTGGCCCCATAGGGAGCTCCACCGAAGGCCCCAGTGCCCCCGTCCGTATGCGTCCGGGAAATGTAATTTGGTCTTTTCACCCGCGCAGTGCAGCGCTTCGTGGCCCCATAGGGGGCTCCACCGAAGCCCCGAGTGGGACCGTTCGCATGCGTCCGGGTAACCCAATTTGGCATTTTCACTCGCTCAGTAGAGGGTTTCGTGGCCCCATAGGGAGCTCCACCGAAGCCCTCAGTGGGACCGTCCGCAGGCGTCCCGGAAACCCAATTCGGTACACCACCCACACAGTACAGCGTTCCTCCCCGCCCAGTGCACCGCTTCGTGGCCCCATAGAGAGCTTCACCGAAGCAGATATTCACAATTACGGTATCCACAACTGCATATGGTTGGGACCTTCGCCAGGATAATTTACCCCCCCCGGTATTTTCCGGTATTTTCGGGAAATATGTGTATTGTCCAGGTATTTGCCGGTACTTCCGGAAATTACAGTCCTCGTGATTGTTGGTGGTTGTTTAAACTCCCAGTATTTTCCAGATTTGTTTTGAAAGGTTTTTATGTATTTCTTGAATGGTCCAACAGGATGTAGTCGTCCGCGCACCTCAACCCGTGACTCACCCGCGATACTGATTCAAGCACATGGTATCTTGTGGCGGGCTGACCCATCCACACTGCGCTCAACAACAAAATCGGCGCCTGCGGCGGGCTGTCTTGCATTCGCTGTGAAGAAAACTGTGCGCCTCAGCCTGGGCGCCCCCCCACTCTTACCCGCGATTCCTATTCTGAGGGACCAGGCACACGCTTTAGCAGTCAAGACGTCCTAAAACCTTCATCTTGTTGTTCCTAATCCTGCTCCTCGCCTCTCCTATCCCTCCGCCCACTGGGCTTGGGAGGCTTCCTGAGCACGGAAACTGTCTTTGCATCCTCGCCGCCCGCCAGGCTGGTCCACTCGAACCAGGTCACCATCTTGGTGGGCAGCCCCGGCTCAGGCCCTCTCTACGCGGGGAGATACATATCGGTTTCCCTTCCCTCCTTTCCCCTCTTACTCCTTCGCTCTGTCCATACCTCTCCTCCCCCCCTCCCCTCACTCCCTCTCTGGCTCCCTCTCTCCTCCCCCCTTCCCCCTCATCCTCCCTCCCCTCCCCGCCCTTGGCCCTTCCCCATCCACTCCTCATCCTCCTTTTCCTCTTGCTTCCTGCTCCTCTTTCTCCCCCCTCCCCCGCGCTGTTCCTCATCGTGCTCCGCCTCGCCCTCTGCCCGTTTTAGGGCGACTTTGGGGCCCGCAGGGGCCTTGGGACTGCACGGCACTGACTGAGGACCGTCCGCCAGCGGCTTTGGTCGGAGGCATAGAGGTTGACACCAACACCGCTTTCGGCGGCGTGCCTCCACCGAGGGAAGATGCTCCCGATCTTGGTGATGATGGTGGGAATCTTCGGGCTTCCTGAGTGGCCGACATGTGACCACCAACACCATAATCTAGGATCATCTTCCCCCAGTGGAGGCACGCAGTCGAAACCGATGGCAAGGATGGGTAACCTTCCCAAGGGTACCCTTGCATCCTTGCCTCTTCGGTCCATCCTTAACCACTTTTGATGGCCCGCCGCGCTCGAAGAAGCTTCAACACGGGCGTCCAAGGGGCTGGCAAATTTTTCGCTTATCTTTATCATCAGCTTTGAGTGTACCCTGGGGTTGGTACTGGTTCCCGTTTTCAGGCCTCCAACTCGGGTGCCGCGCGCGCAGAGTCGCCCGCGCACGCTCCGACGGGTCTGGCCACCCGCAGTTCGCCCCCGAGGCCCCGCGTGCGGACGGCGCGTCGAGAGCGCGGCGGCGGTATAGTCGAAACCGATAGTAAGAATGGGCAACCTTCCCGGCCTTCCTGAACCCCTTGCGACGGCGAGCCACGCTCTAAAAGTGTCGACACGGCCTTCCAAGGCCCTTGCATCCTTATCGCGCACGGTTGCTATCCGTTTTGACGGTGTTCTCGGTGTCGTGCGGACGACCCGCCACGTTGGAGCCATCTGGGAGGCTGAGGTGGCCCAGCACTGGTTCTGGCCAGCTGCTGGCCAGCCAGGAAGGGCGGGCAGATTCGAGGTTCTGGATTCGGGAAGGTTTCTTGCCTTTTCCGGCCTCCAGGGGCCGTTTTCGGACCGTCATACACGGATCCAGAGTTGCAAATTACACCGGATAGGTTTTGGTAGTGGTCCGGGGACCGATTTTGAACGGATCCGGCTTCATCCCCCGCTCCTCACCGATTTTCTGGGGTCCCAGCCGGTTCGGGCCCTCTGGCCGCCTCCAACCGCTCTGCGTGCGCGCAGGGGGGCTCCCGGTCTCTTTGGGTGGCGTCGTCTGCTTCAGCCTGAGCCGGCGTCGCGGCGTGCGCCTCCACATCAGCAGCCAGCGGAGGGCGCTGGGAGCGCGCCCGGCGCCTGGGCCACGGAAGAGCACGGGCCGCGCACGGGCGGGAGCGGCGCTCCAGGAGGGGCCTTGCGCGGCGGATCGACGAGAGCTCGGCTGCGAAGTCCGAAGCCTGCACGCTCTCCGATCGACGATTAGCCGCTAGCCGCTAGCCGCCGCTAGCCGCTAGAGCCACACCTCCCCGCCCGTGCGGAGGCGCCTCTGCCGACGATTGGGTGGGAGGCGCTTCTCTCTCCAGAGTTCGGCAGGGAAGCGTGTAGTAATCGGTGAGATAGCGCCGATGTAGCGTCGATCAGCGTTGAGTTTGCGTCGATTTAGCGTCGATTGGCGTCGATTCGCAAGAGCCACTAAGGTGGTGTGGGAGGCTCCCATACGTTAACTGCAGAAGATGACTGGATGAGAGACGCGCGTTACCCCAGAGGGAGCGCAATTATATCAGAGGGAACTCCACACAGCGCTTGGGCGAGATCAACATTTCGCCAATTCGCGCGCGATGTACGTAGCGTCCCATCTCCGCCACACACTTTCTAAGAATGGCAACGTCACTCCAATGCTGAATGGAAATACGCGCAGGCCCTGCATTGTTTTTGATATGTCGTCTGGACCCCTCCAGATATGGGCCCGAACGGCTAGATATCTGGCTGATTGCGAGCGTGTAAAACTACTTTCAGGTGTATGTATGTGTAGGTATGTATGCATGTGTATGTGTATGTGGATTCAAATGTATGTATGCATGCATGCATGCACGCATGTATGTATGCATGTATATATGTTTGTATGCATGTATACATGTATGCATGTATGCATGTATGCATGTATGCATGCATGCATGCATGTATGCATACATGCATGCACGCATGTATGTATGTATATACGTGCGTTTGTTTGTTTGTTTGTTTGTTTGTTTGGTTGGTTGGTTGTATGTATGTATGTATGTATGTATGTATGTATGTATGTATGTATGTATGTATGTATGTATGTATATGTGTACAGGTGTTTGTGTGTACGTATGTATGTATGTACATGCGTACGCACATACGTATGTATGTATGTATGTATGTATGTATGTATGTATGTATGTATGTATGTATGTATGTATGTATGTATGTGTATATGCATATATGTATGGTTGTTTGTTTGTAGATATGTAAGTGTGTGTATGCAGGTATGTATGTATGTATGCATGTATGTATCTACATATGTGCGTACGTGCGTACGTGCGTATGCATGTACGTAAGTGTGTGTGTGCTTATGTGTGTATGTGTATGTGTGTATGTATGTGTGTATGTAATGTAATGTATGCATGTATGTATGTATGTATGCATGCATGCATGTATGTGTGTGTGTCTGTCTGTCTGTCTGTCTGTCTGTCTGTCTGTCTGTCTGTCTGTCTGTCTGTCTGTCTGTCTGTCTGTCTGTCTGTATGTATGTATGTATGTATGTATGTATGTATCTCCCCGTGCACGAGGCCCGGGGGCCCGGGACCGCGACCTCGACGGGGCATGGGGGTACCGGGCGTCATTTTCATAGTGTTTTTCTTACGGGGTTTCGGCGACCCGGGGCCAACAGGGCTCCAAGAGGCTGCAGGGAGGCCCCAGGAGGCCGCAGCGATGGCTCCAGACGCCTTTCAAGACGACTTCCATGACACCAAGAACGCCCCCGAAGGCCCCGAAGACGGCCCAAAAGGCACCCCGAGAGAGGCCCAATAAGCAAACATCGTCGATTTCCCATGCGGAACTAATATTTTTGGCGCGTTCTCTTTTTGGGCTTCCACTGAGTCCAAGACGGCCCAAGAGGCACCCAAGCCGGTCGAGGATGCTCCCAAGAGGGCCCCAAGACGGCCCACGAGGGGGCCAAGACGGCCCACGAGGCGCCCAAACCGCCCAAGAACGCTCCGAGTCGGCGCCCAAGACGGGGACGAGGAACGGGAAATTCGCTCCTTTGGCCCAAGAGACCCCAGAAGACCCCAAGAGGCTGCAGGGAGGCCCCAGGAGGCCGCAGCGATTGCGCGAGACGCCGCTCAAGACGACTCCCATGACGCCAAGAACGCCCCCGAAGGCCCCGAAGACGCCCCAAGAGGCACCCCGAGAGAGGCCCAATAAGCAAAAATCGTCGACTTCCTATAGAAAAACTGATATTTTTGGCGTGTTCGCTTTTTGGGCTTCCACTGCGTCCAAGACGGCCCAAGAGGCACCCAAGACGGTCGAGGATGCCCCCAAGAGGGCTCCAAGACGGCCCACGACGGGGCCAAGACAGCCTACGAGACGCCTAAACCGCCCAAGAACGCTCCGAGTCGGCGCCCAAGACGGGGACGAGGAACCGAAAAAGCGAGCCATTTGGCCCAAGAGGCCCCTTGGAGAGACCCCAAGAGGCTCCAAGAAGCGCCCAAGAAGCCCCAAGAGGTCCCCAAGAGACACGCAAAAACACAAAAAGAGCCCCCGAAGACGCCATAAGGGGCACTCCAATAGAGCCCCAATAAGCAAAGATCGTCGATTTCCGATGGGGAAACTGATATTTTTGGCGTGTTCGCCTTTTGGGCTTCCACTGCGTCCAAGACGGCCCAAGAGGCACCCAAGACTGCCCCACAGGCTCCCAAGAAGGCCCCAAGACGACCCCAAGAGGGTCCCAAGATGGCCCGAGAGGCCTCCAAGACAGCCCAAGAGAGCCCCAGGACGAGCCCCAGAGGGGTCCCAGAGGTGCACAACCATATTCAAATTCCAAGCTTTCGGCCCCAGAGGCTCCCAGGAGGCCCCAAGAGGTCCCCAGGAGGCCCCCAGAGGCCCCCCAGAGGCCCCAAGAGGCCCCCAAGATACCCCCAGGAGGCCCCAAGATGCACCCCGAGAGAGGCCCAAATAAGCAAACATCGTCGACTTCCTATAGAAAACCTATTATTGTTGGCGTGTTCGCCTTTTGGGTTTCCACTGCGTCCAAGACGGCCCAAGAGGCACCCAAGACGGTCAAAGATGCCCCCAAGAGGGCTCCAAGACGGCCCACGACGGGGCCAAGACGGCCCACGAGACGCCTAAACCGCCCAAGAACGCTCCGAGTCGGCGCCCAAGACGGGGACGAGGAACCGAAAATGCGAGCCATTTGGCCCAAGAGGCCCCCAGGAGACCCCAAGAGGCTCCAAGAAGCGCCCAAGAAGCCCCAAGAGGTCCCCAAGAGACACGCAAAAACACAAAAAGAGTCCCCGAAGACGCCACAAGAGGCACTCCTATAGAGCCCCAATAAGCAAAGATCGTCGATTTCCGATGGGGAAACTGATATTTTGGGCGCGTTCGCCTTGTGGGCTTCCACTGCGTCCAAGACGGCCCAAGAGGCACCCAAGACGGTCGAGGATGCCGAGGATGCCTCCAAGAAGGCTCCAAGACGGCCCACGAGGGGGCCAAGACGGCCCCCGAGGCGCCCAAACCGCCCAAAAGCGCTCCGAGTCGGCGCCCAAGGCGGGGACGAGGAATCGAAGATTCGAGCGTTTTGACCCAAGAGGCCCTCAGGAGACCCCAAGATGCTCCAAGAAAAGCGCCCACTTCCAATGAGGCCCCCAACCCGAAAAAACAAAAGAGGCCCCGAAGACGCCCCAAGAGGCACCCCAGTAGAGCCCTCCCCGGCCCCGGGTGCCACACCTCCCCGTGGCAGGTCAGCTCTCCAGGAGGGCCCGAGACGTTTCCGAGGAGCACCCAGAATGCGAAAGGATGGTCCAAAGCGCTCCCAAGCAGCCCAAATCAGCCTTCTGACGGCTCTCGAGGCTCCCAGGTAACCTCCAAGAGACCCCAAGAGAGGTCCGAGAGGCGTCCCGGGACGGCCCGAAGAGGCCAAAGTCGTAGATTTCCATTGTTTTTTCTAATGTTTTTGGCTTCTCGCGTTTTCGAGCTTCCAACGGTCCAAGAGCGCCGACGAGGCTCCCAAGACCGCCCCTAGACCACCCGAGAGACCATCAGGACGGCCCCAAGACGGGCCAAGAAGGCTCCAAGATTGCCGAAGAGGCGCCCATGACAGCCCCAGACCACGCCAGAACAGGCCCAAGATGGGGCCAAGAGCGGGAGCAGGAGGCTTCCAGAGACCTCCGAAAGGCCTCCGGGACCACCTAGAGGCCCCCAACACACCCCCGATCTTTGAGAGGCCCCAGAAATACCCCGACGAGGCTCCAAGGACAGACAGCCCAAGAGATCTGCGAGAGCCGTCCCGAGAGAGCCCAAAGAGGGTAAAATCGTTGATGTTCCATGGTTTCTCTAAGGTTTTTCGCCTTCTCACGTTTTCCCGCTTCCGACCCTCGAAGATCGAGGATTTTAAGAAAAAAAAGGAATTCCCAGAATCCCCTCTTTTCTTTCCAACGTGGGACTCCTACTCGGGGGCCTACACATCTCCTGACATCTGGCCGGTACCGCGCCTCCCGTCTTCCGGGGGAGAGATCCCAAGTCGCCGAAGGACAGCACATGACGACCCCAAGGAGCCCCCAGAGCGTAAAGAACGACCCAACACGCTCCCGAAGCCCGCGACACCCTTCCGACGGCTCTCCAGGCCTCCAGAAGGCCTCCAGATCCCCCAGGGGGTCCGGAAGATCCCACACCCCTGAAGGGCCCGGCGAACAAAACCGGCGAGGCACAAACCAAAAACAGCGCCGAACAGCTCCGAGGAATTGGAAAAACATGAAAATCCCACAATTCCTTCTTTTTTTTCAAGTTTGGCCCCCAGTCTACTCTTGCACAACAGGTCGACCACAATTCAGACCCCCCTCACCTCCCAAAAAAGAATCTAGGAAGCCTTTGAGGGCCCCAAATCGTTGAATAGCTAAAGGAAATGAATGATTTCTGCGTTTCCGCGTTTCCCCTTCTATACGATTCCGAAGCTTGCGCAGGGCCTCCAAGGGAGTCCCTGGACGCAAGAAGCGACCACAATGAGATGACATGAGTTAGCCTATGAAGCCTAGCTAGAACTTGAGCGCGCGCGAAGCGCGCGCGCGATGGTTCTAGTATGTATGTATGCATGCATGTATGTGTGTATGCATGTGTGGGCGTATTATTCACGTCTTCGGATGGGAGGAGGAGGAACAGGAGCAGGGGGAAGAGGAGATGAGGAATAGCAGGAGGAGGAGGAGGAGGAGGAGGAGGAGGAAAAGGAAAAGGAGGAGGGGGAGGAGGAGGAGGAGGAGGACCAGTGTAAACCCAAGAGTCATGAACGGTGTTGGAATAACCCTGCCTCCAAGCTCCCTCTTCATAGGCCTCTACTCTGGTGCATTTCTATTGAGGGAACTGCCTCGTTGGAAGACAACCGTTTGAAGACCCTGAAGCATGTCAACACATTGTCTCGGAATTCCCTGGTTTCTGATCCCAGGAATGGAGCGCGATCCCTTTGGAACGCGCGCGCCCCTTGCTATCCACGTGAACCACAGCCCCCCCCCTTCCGACATAAAATTGTGGATCACGTGGATAGCAAGGGGCGCGCGCGTTCCGACAGGGATCGCGTTCCATTCCGTGGATCAGATACTAGGGATCAGGCCTCTTCTCGCCGCCCAAACATGCGATGGTTATTACTGGAACCGCCCATTCCGACAGTGATCGAGTTCCATTCCGGGGATCAGAAACCAGGGAGCAGGTTGTTCTCGCTTCCCATACATGTGATGATTTGTATTGGAACCACCCGTTCCGACAGGGATCGCGTTCCGTTCCGGCTGATGCGTCTTGACGATCTTGAATGGTGCCAGAACGCCTTTCCGGGGATTTCAACACCGCCAACCAACGTAACTGTCGCACCGCGAAATCCAGAATCTTTCCAAAACACCGTTGACCATGGGAACCCGTGAAATTCTTGCAAAGTTTATACGCGAAGGTCGCGGCGCTAAGGAGAGAGCCACATTTTGGAAAGGAACCGCCCTCACCCCGTGAAACTCTTGCACATGTTTAACACGAATGCGCGCGGCGCTAAGGCGAGAGCCACATTTTGAAAAGGAACCGCCCTCAACCCGTGAAGCTCGTGCACATATTTCAAACGAATGCGCGCGGCGCTAAGGCGAGAGCCACATTTTGAAAACGACTCGGCCTCAATCCGTGAAACGCCTTGCACATGTTTAAAACGATTATGCGCGGCGCCAAGGCGGGAGCCACATTTTGAAAACCACTCGCCCTCAATCCGTGAAGCTCTTACACATTGTTCAAATGAATGTGCGCGGCGCTGAGGCGGGAGCCACAGTTTGAAAACGGCCCGCCCTCCATCTGTGAAACTGTTGCCAAATTTTCTGTTTCAGAGCCATAAGCGGTGAGGAATTCGCAGGCGAAACGCCCGGCCCGCCCCAAAAAATGACTTCGGGGTGCGACAGGGGAGAAGTTATGTATAAGGAAAAGGAATGGAGGGGAAGGGAGGGGAGGGGAAAGAGGAGGAGGAGGAGGAGGAAGAGGAAGAGGAGAAGGAGGAGGAGGAGGAAGAGGGAAAGGAAGAGGAGGATAATGATTGATGATAATGATGCTGAGGAGGAGGAGGAGGAGGAGGAGGAGGAGGAGGAGAAGTGGAAGAGGAGGGACGACGCACGAGGAGGAGGGAAGGGGAGGGGAGGGGTGGGGGGGGGGTGGAAGGGAGGAGGAGGAAGAGGAGTGAGGAGGTAAGGGAGAAAGGGTAGGGGGGAAAGTAGGAGCAGGGAGGAGCTGGATGAGGAGCGAGGAGGAGGAGGAGGAGGAGGGGAGGAGGAGGAGGAGGAGGGGGAGGACACTGCAGTGTGCCCGTGCACTGGGCGCGCAGGCAAGAGCACGCAGGTGCCGCAGATCCTACTGGACGCGGGCTACCACGTGCTCGGCGGCCGCATCAAGGAGCCAACGAGAGGAGGGCGCGGGGGACCAGGAATGAGGAGGTGGCCCCTTCCTCCTCCTCCGCCCTCTCCTCCGCCTCCTCCTCCTCCCTCTCCTCCTCCTCCTCCTGCTCCTCCTCCTCCTCCTCCTACCTCATCCTTCTCCTCCTCCTCCTCCTCCTCCTCCTCCTCCTCCTCCTCATCCTCTCAAAGAAAAATGCAGATAAAGTATAACAGCGTAAGTCCAGTTTTCTGGTGGATGTTCCAAGTCCCATGATGTTCTGCCTTCTTGGGTACAGGTGGGCGCCAGCGCGCGTGTCACATTCGTGATTTTCCACGAGCGCGACCGCGTGCGACTGCGCGCGGCTGTCATTTCTAGTAGGGGCGTCGTCGTGGTTCGGACATCATTGCCCTTCGCAGCGAATCGACATACGCCCACGAACCAAGTTTGGGAGGTACGGCGCGCATCCAGGAACGGGCCGCCAAATGCCTGAGCCTTTGTTGCAGATCGTTATTTAACCCGCCCGCGGCAACTTCCAAATTAGGTAGAGGAGGGACTTTAGGACATGCAGGGGGAAGAGGGAGGGCCCAGGGAAGGGGGCTGGAAGGAATGTCCAATTCGGTTGGACGGATCCCGCTTGGCCAAGCGCTCGGTGGGCACGCACACTCTCCAATTTGTTCTTGCGCCGCGTTCGAGCAATTCCTGCGTGCGGGCTTTTCATATGGTCCTAAACATACCCTTGCCCAGGGTCGGCCTGGGTGAAAAGGGCC